TGACGCAAAATCAGGGTGAAAATCATAAAATGTGAACTAGGCTTTACTGGTCTTTGTGCAACTTCAAATGTCAAACGAAGTAGAAAGTTGTTATCTATGATTTTTTAACCTGCACGTTTCACATAATGCAACTCGTTCTTTTGTTGACCACTGCATATTTTTTGTGCGTGAACTAAATCTTTGGGCTTGGGGGAAGGTACCAAGTATTTTCAAGTGAAAACGCTCAAGTCCAAGTGAAGTCATGAGTCACTGGTGTTGAAGTCCAAGTTGAGTTGACCAAGTCAGTGTTTTGCAAGTCAGAAGTAAGTCTCAAGTCATTGCACTCGAGTCCTATGTCAAGACAGACATGTCCCAAGTCAAAACTGACATTCCAAGTCAAGTCCCAAGTGCTAAACTTTAAGTTTCAAGTCCCAAACAAGCCATGATGCAGTCATCAATAAAAGAAATTCCAATATTCAATTTGCAAAAAAATCATGAATGGTTTCTGAATTTGCATTTATTTGTTAAAACAAGTTTGTTAATAAACTAATGTTAGCTTAGCATTACCTCTCTAACCATGGTAATATTAGCTCTGACTTACTGATCCTTGTGCAGCTTCAGTGTTGACGAATATGGAGGATATACATCATCATCTGTAATTTTTAACCCACACATTTTGCATTCTGCAACTCCTTTTTTTTTTTTTTTTTTTTTTTTGTTGTTGGTTGACCACTACATATTTTTTGTGCTGGAACTAAATCTTTGGTCTTGGGTTAAGTATGTTCAAGTGCAGTTGCAATTCTTTATTGATTTTCTTAAGTCAAACCTAAAGTCATCAAATTTGTAACTTGAGTCTGACTCGAGTCCAAGTCTTGCGTCTGGAATCTACACCTCTGCAAACTGACCCCACTAATCCACATCCAAAAGCAGCAGGCACGGCAGCGCACAGAGACTTTTATCAATGGCTCTGCAGCTGATGCTTCATTCATCACCAAACACAGATCTTAACACAAATTTCCACTACAGGCTGCCTTTCTTTCACTCCTGTATTTTAAGGGGCATGCCATAAAATGTGTTGCTCGCTCCACTGTAGACAGAAGTGTTTCCTGCAGCATCCTATCCATGGTTGGGGTTTAAATGGACAGGCTGCAGAAAAGATGGTCAGTTTAATGTAAGCCCTATATCATACAGCACCACACGAGCTGGCATCATGTAACGCAACGAATACCTTAAAGCGCTGTCACCGGATAAAAGCTGACCATAGCAGGCGGTCACAAAACACCACTGCTCCTCATGCCCACTGTACTTGCTGCACTTGAAGTAGTACAAAGAAGGTTTCGAATTTCACAAAGCATGATTTTCACTGGGGCTGAAGGCTACCATCCCCCATGACTGCAAACCAAGCTGGCTGGAATAGACCCCAGCCCCTACCCTCTCTCAGGCAAGTCAATGCATTCTTAGTGGGAAAATTAAATCACGTCGTGCAGCTGCCAGAGGTTCGCCTAATCACACTGTACCAACCTGAAACTCCACAACCCCACTGTGGAATAAATGCAATAATAAAAATATGAAATGTGAGATATGTGGCATGATTCTATGGACACCTATCTGCATATATTTGCTCTCCGGTTTCTCACCAACATGATATTCCTAGGAGTGAATGTGTCAAGACGCTGCTGCAGGAGCTCCTGCAGATGTGGAGCTTTGCAATTTATCACCCTACAAGCGGTCCCGTTACAAAATGCATCGCTTGTTTAATCATTATCCAACACACTGCTAGTACTTTTACAGGTTTGGACCACTTTGGAGTCCTAACGTTGTTCACATTTGCCACATTTGTCACCTGTGTTGTGGGTCAATAATGTGTTGGTGAGAGATATGGCCAGGCAGTGTTGAATTACCAAAAATCGTTATGAGTCCAGCAGCTCCAGTTTAATGTTACAACATGGTGACTCGGTTTTTAAGGCAGTTTGTTGCTGCTGAGCTGATTTGCAGTAAACGTAACGCTACTAAAGTCACATTTCAAGTTAAAAAACGCGACTTCAGCACAAAGTGTTCGAGTAATTTACCTGATACGTTGGTTTTAATCCCTCTTATGTCCTTTCCATCCTCACTGAGCAGCGGAGCATGCCACCGTGTCCAAGAATTTAAATCCCCGGGTCGGATCCATGATTGTACTGTCTCTGATATCAAATGTACTCCTGGTGGAAGAGGCGGCGGCGGAGAAGAATCCAGGCACTTTTTTCCAAAGGGAATCTCAGGGGGAGATTTGGGTGAAATTAGCATCAAAGCAGGTCCGGTTTAGCTAACAACAGGTTTCGTAACCCTAAAAACTCCCCGTCAGTTTGACCCGCACGCGACAGAGACGGTCTGTCCGCGGTAACGAGGGAGGAATGACGGTTATTCGCAGGAAAATGTCCCCATTATAATCGGTGATAATGGTACTTACCACTCTATTGTTGGGGCGCGAGAAAGCGTCCCATGCAACTGCTGCTGTGCTCGTGGGAGGCTCGCGGATAACGTGCGCGCTCGCTGTATTGGCCAGTTACCCCACACCGTCATCTTCTGCTGTCCAATCCATTGGAGATTTGATTGATTTGATTATTGAAACCATCATTGTACATATGAATCATATCATTACACTGATAATGGAGCTCGTGCGTAAAGATAATTATTTAATCATACACTGAGTACACTGTAAAATACATGACAAAGGTCAAGGATGATACTAACCACCACAGACCTAGGATATTATGTGGTGTTGTTTATGGCTGCTAGTTATTTTCAGTAGTAGTAGTAGTCGTACTAGTGGTGGTGGTAGTAGTAGATTAATATGATTAATTACATTTATATTGTGTATTACGTCCATAAAATGTCACCAAATAGTGGAAACCAAAGATATTTAATTCAGTAATAGGTGACCCTCACATTTCAGAAGCTGGAATCAGACAGTGTTGTGCATCTTTGCTTTACAGTGATGAACAAAATAGTTGCCTTTTAGTTTACTTTAGACCAGCAAATTGATTAACTGACTGATCATGTTAGCTTTAGTGTTGTCTCTGATATTATGGCAGGTTACGAAGCATATTTAGTTTTACCACATTATTGCTGTGTTTTTGTACATATCCAATTGAGTTTTTTTGTGGCCTTTCTGGCTTTTCTATCATTAATTATCATTTTTATTATTCTAAATTGTATATATCACCACTGAGGCTACAACATGTGACATTAAGACAGAAAAGTAATCACATAGGCATCATATAAAAACAAGGGTAATCTAAAAGGCATGATTCCACTATACGATCGTAAGATAAGATTCATCATGATGATTATTAAAATTGTTGCCAATTAGTTTTCTGTAGATCAGCTAATTGATTTACTGACTGATCGTTTCAGTTTTAGTATCGTTCCTTATATAATGGTAAGTTATGGCAAATTCTGAGTACACAGCACATTTTGTTTCACCACTGCATTACTGTCCTTCTGCACGAATCACATTTAATATTGTGACGGCTACTCTTAAAATCTCCATATGTTTTTTTCTCCATATGTCGTTCATTATTATTATTTTTTAATAAATCATCAGTCACACCATGTGACATTAATACAGAAAAGAAAGCATATAGGCATCATATTAAAACGCGGATAATCTCACATGCATGATTCCACTATAGGATCATAGAGTCAACATGTCAGCAGTAAGATGATTTTTAGATGAGATAAGATAAACCAAAGATTCATTTTATTGCAGATTAATATGATTAATTATACGCGTGACTATTCAATTATTGTGTCCATAAAATGTCACAAACTAGTCCCAAATATATTCAATTCACTGAGAGGTGATCCTCACGTTTGAGAAGCTGGAATCAGTAAATGTTCTGAATTGTTGCCTCATGATGGATATCAAAAAAGTGACCAATTAGTTTTATGTGGATCAGCTAATTGATTTACTGACTAATAGTTTCAGCTTATGTTGATATGATATTATGATATTAAGGCAGGTTATGGCAAGTGATGAGTACAAAGCACATTTTGTTTCACCACTGCATTACTGTCTTTTTGTAGCCCTGATATCAAATTCAGTGTTTTTATGGCTACTCTTAAAATCTAAATTATTGTTATATTTTAATGGTATATATCATCTCTTACAACATGTGACGTTAAGACAGAAAATATATCATATAGGCATCATATAAAAACCAGGATAATCTAACAGGCATGATTCCACTAAAGGATCATAGATTAAATTTGTCACCAGTAAAATGTATTAAGATAAGATAAGACTTTATAAATGCCACTCAGGGGAAATGCACACTATGTTGCATTTTAAATGTGTTGTCATTGGTTGCTACCTCAGCCATGTCTCTCTTGTTAAAGAGATTTTCAGTCTCAATGGGACTTCCTGGTTAAATAAAGGTTAAATATATAAATAAAACATTACAGCAGCTCAAGAGTCAGAAAACAAGAGGAAGAAAATGAAAAAACATGATTAAGCACTAAATAGGATTTAAAAAAAAAAAATACAAAAATAGAAATAAAAATAAAAGTAATTTAAATCAATGTACACCATTTACACATTTTTTACTTTATGTTCATGATTGATTGTTGCACAGGATTACTGAAATCCACACATGGTGTGTAGAAATATTGCTGTAAAAATATTGAAATATATGAATTTTATTGCACAGTTAGTGGTAAAAGTATTGCACATCAGGACACCAGTACATAAGGTACATGTGATATAGGAAAACATGTTAGAAATGAATAAATAAATTAATTTAAGATAAAAGACAAAATAATAATAATAATAATAATAATAACTTCACAGAAAATGAAGGCTATAAATCCAATTAAAAAATGTATTTCAGCATACTGAATATATATAATTATATGATTATATATACATATAATCACAGTCAAATAAAAAAGTCGATCAACTTTCGATTTTTTTTTTTTTGTTTGTCGTCTTCTGTGTCAGAACGGAAGTACCACCCTCCAGCTTCCGGTGAATTCACAACATTCAAGATGTCAGCTGCCATCGCTTCCCTCGTTTCCTACGGTAGCGATTCAGATTCAGAAAATGAGTCTGAGTCTAATACCGCCGCTGAAAAAGTGGACACAGCGGACCCGGACGCTTTGGCTCACCTGAAACCTTTAAAGTCTGAACCCACCATGTCTGTGGCTCTTCTCAATTCCGCTCCGGAGGTCGCCGTTAAGGTAAGCTAACCGAGCTAGCTAACGTTAGCTTGACGTTATAGTTAGATTGTTAAAGTTTGACACAGTTACCGGTACAATGCTTAATTAAATATCACAATGAGACATACGATTTCAACTGACAATAGTTCATTCTAAATAAGTAATTATTCAATGCGTACAATTAACAGTTGTCAACGTCGCCAAATACAACTAGTAACGCTAACGGTTAGCGGGAAACATTGAGTGTCGAGCAGGAGGACAGAGAACAACCAGTTAATCATTCGAAAAACTAACATTATCAGTTTGGCCTTGGGTGTTGTTTTCTTCTGTCTTACAACCGTTAGACCAAACAGTACTTTGGTATTGTGTTGCTAGTCATGAGAGCCAATTCGCTAATTTGTCCCTGTTCACTTAAGGAGTCTGTTGAGACTGGCACACACCTGGACCCCTCGCTGAAAGAAGTCGCCTATAACCCGACATTTGAAACCATGTTTGCACCAGAGGTAAGTTGTAGACTCAGTGGATCACATCTAGAGTTGGATTATATATTAAGTATAACATGATTTCAAACGACATCTTGTTTATAATCATATACACTGATCAGCCCAAACATTTAAACCACTGGTGGGTGAAGTGAATAACATGAATCATCATGTCACAATGAAATGTTCTGTTGGGAAACCTTTGGTCCTGCATTCATGTGGATGCCACCTGACATGCCCCATCCATCCAAACACTTCTACTGAGCAAGTACACCCCCCTCAAAGCAACGCACACCGTGGCAGTGAGCCTTGTTCAGGAATGGTGAAGAGGTCAAGGCATCGACATGGCCTCCCAATTCCCCCAGAACCCAATCTGATAGAGCATCCATGGGACATGCTGGTACCCCACCTCACATCCAGCAGGACTCGAAGGGTCTGCCGCCAACCAGACATCCTGTGTCCATGTCAGAGCCAAGTCTGATCCAAGGAGGGCCCACTGTGGATCAGGTGTACCCCTGTGGTATCGGCACGTCCAACAAATACTCAATCACATTTGGATCTGAGGAATCTGGACACCAGGTCTATGCGTTAAGCCCTTTTGTCACGTTCCTTGAGCCATGCCTGAACAGTTTTTGCAGTGTGGCGTGGTCACTGTCCTGCTGGGGGTCCACTGAAATCGTGCAGTGCAGTTGCCATGAGGGGATATACTTGGTCTGCAGCTGTGTTTGGGTGTGTGGAGCACCTCAAATGGCATCCACAAGAAGGACTGAAGCAGAACATTGCATTGTAACAAGATGATCAATGTAATTCAGGTCATCCATCAGTGAATTTAACGTCTTGGCTGATCGGTGTATCTGTGTGTATGGTGAGGTCTTTTCCTGGTTCTGGTTAAGTAGGCTTGTAACTACTGAATTCCCCTAGCTGTTTGGCCATTACACCCACATTACGTATTATCATCTCAATCTCAAATATTTCTTGCTTGTTAATACATATGTAACATATATATAAGAATATCTGTTGTTATTGCTGTCACACTTTTTAGTTGTTTATTATTTATGTTTATTATCTAGTTTCTTTCCTTCTCCTGGAGTGTCCTTATTTCTTCTGTTTAAATGTTTATGATGCTTTGCTAAAGTAATGCTGCAGTTTCTCATTGGAATTAATCTTGTGCTCTGCCTTTTTATTTATTTATCATTGACCTATTGTCACATAATTCAGATGGCCTGATAATGACGGCATGCTTATTAGATATGAAATAAACAGAAGGAACATGTGAAAAAGTAGTTCCATCCAGTCAGTTTAATTTAATATTAATTTGATATAATTTATTAATGATATTGTACCTCTTCCTCTTAGTTTGGGCCAATGAACCCATTTAAAAGCCAGCAGATGGCTGCCCCCAGGAACATGTTATCCGGCTACGCAGAACCTGCTCACCTCAACGACTTTATGTTTGAGCAGCAGAGGAGGACCTTCCACACCTATGGTAAGCTCATCTGTGGCCTGTGTGATGGGTTTACAGTCAGTGTATTGACCTTGAAATTTAATGGCCATTTTACAACCCTCTCCTCTCTGCTAATAGGTTATGCTTTAGATCCATCTGTCGACACACACCAGGTCTCCTCCAGTACCTACATTGGTGCTGTGGATGAGGCTGAGAAAAACAAAGGTAATGCTTTATCACACCTAAATGTGTTTGTCTGAATCCGACTGTCTAATGCGGCATGAAGTGTTTTTAAGTAGATTCAGAACTATAATATCTAGTGCCTCTTCCTCCAGGGCTCACTGTGTTTGAGAGCGGACAGAAGAAGTCAGAGAAAAGGAAAAAGATCAAAGGCGGAGAAGCAGGAGAGATCGACAACTTCCTTGGACCGTGGGCGAAATACATAGATGAGAAAGATGTGGCTAAACCATCAGAGGTAATGCTTTGTTTAATTACTTACTACATGATATAGTAGCAAGGCAAAAAAACACAGCACCCTTAAGATTTGGACGGTAAGGATTGCTGTTGGGCATTATGCCAGATACACTGGCTATCATTAATATGATTAATCTGTTGTTAATCAAATGTCTTCTGTCTTTTTCCTTTGCCTGTGTTAGATCACCAAAAAGTTTCTTTGTATTTCTGCTTATTAACATACACTACCATCAGCCATGTGAACCCGCCCACCCACACAACCCTCTGCTCTCAGAAAAAAATAAAAAAAAAAGTAGCCCTGAGCAATCTCCTTTACATCGGGTCATGCAACTGAGAGAAAACTGACTTCAAGTTGCTCAGTCTGTTTTTGGCAAGTCACACATGTCAAAGTTGAACATGTTTTAACTTTAAGCAACCAAAAAAAAAAGCCAAACGTGCAGCGCTCAGAGCAGAATAGATGCTCAGCTCCTCGTCAGGCTGCTGGCTTTTTAAACATAGTGTAAATACACAGAGCTCCCATTGCAAAGCACAAAGACACAGAAATACGCTGTCCTCAGGAAAACATACTTTTCTTTTCAACGAGTTGAGATGGACTTATCGCTTCCTCCATGTGTTCTTTTGTGCTGGTAGCCGCTCTTCTTCTACTACTGGCATTTAACAGCAAAATAAAACATTTGTAGTCATATTCTGCCCTGTCAGGTCTGGAAGAACGAATCTCCGGTACCTGTGGTACTGAAGTGAAACAATTACTGTCACATTTTTAGAATTTGGCATCGGCTTGGCACTGAAGTATTGGTTCTCCTGACAACCATAGTCTGTCCTCAGCACTGTAGAGAAGAAATCTGTTTGGTAATTTTCTGGTTGTGATGATTTTTTTTTTTTTTTTTACAGGATGAGCAGAAAGAGCTGGACGAGATCACGGCCAAGAGGCAGAAGAAGGGCAGGAATGAGGAAGATGCTCCTGCAGAAGAGAAGACCATTCTCCATGGTACTGTGGCCCTCTCAGATATCTTTGTTAAAGGACCTTTGGCTAAAGAATTGAGGTTGAAGGTGTAGTCAACTGGGGAAGTTTGATCAGTTGTCTCATTTAATCATATATGCTCAAATTTACTTTTTTTTTTTAAGAATATTTTAAGAACTTTTCTTTAACTAAATGCAGCAGACAGTCCAGTGTCCTTTAAAACATGAATCCAAATGCTACAGGATCATTTCACCTGATATTTTGTCTCTTTTTGTTTCCCCCCCAGTTAAAGACATGTACGATTACCAGGGCAGGTCCTACCTTCACATCCCACAGGATGTGGGCGTCAACCTGCGTTCTGGAGACGCTCCAGACAAGTGTTACCTGCCCAAAAAACAGATTCATGTCTGGTCCGGACACACCAAGGTCAGTGGGAGGGGACACAGATCATTAGTGTTTCTGTGTGTACATTAATTACTCCATTATGTACCAGTTAATACACCTTGCAGCATTGTCTCTCTGAAGGTTTTGCTGATGGTAAGTATTATAGTGTTGTTTTGAATTCATTCTGATATAGAAAATGATTGCAGTGTCACATAGGTGTCTGTATACATAAAGAGAATTTTCCATTATGCAGTCCTTGTAAGAATTCGCGAGGCAGCCAGTAAAAACCTCCCGGGTGCTTCCGAATAAAATGATAACACAGCCGTATACGAGCAGTGTGTCCCTGACAGCTTCAAGATTATTCTGTTCCCATTCAAAACACTGTCGTTATAATTCAAATATAAAGGCAAACACTGGGTTATTCCAAGAAAAATCTGATTCAGGCTTCAGATCTGCCGGTGTGCTTCAGGGAGAGAGAAATCACTCAAGTTTTAAATTGGCTTCTATCCGCTTTGTGCAGGAAGTTACAGCCTTCAGAGTCTAATTTGAAATACAAAGAGGTTTGAGAACATAATAAGCGTGTGGAAGTGCTGATGTTGAGATAATAGATGGAGGATGGCCCGTACGGTGTCACCAAAGTTTTCTGACACTTTTTGGGGAAAGTTTGGTAACTAATTTCTATGAGTATTACAGAGGCAGCATGGTCTGCACACACACACACACGCACACACACAATCTACCTGCCCTGGCTGCATTATGATTCAGCTGAAGGCTCCCCTTAGGAGCTGATTTAATATCAATAGCCTGGCTATGCATAAATTACAGCAAGAGCAGGAACACAGCACTTTGTATGGGAAACACTGAGATGTACAGTGGTGTTTATTGTATAGTGTGTATTTATTCTCAACAGTTAGGGATTCTTTGACCACTGTAGTCCATAGTAGAGTCCTGCACGGGTCCAGTTTTGCAGCCCGCCTCTGCAGAGATCTGTCATGAACTGAGCTGTTACCTGCAACTATTACCAAGTCAAATCTAGACCCAGCTCGTTCATATAAGTCCCTGCGACCAAACCCATGATTAAACACAGTCACTCACTTTAAAGTGCTTTATTTCATTTCAACCCAAACCATGATCTTTTTTGAAAACTTCAGGGCTATCCGGCCGTTGTTTCTTGCTAGTCACCACTATTAGCTTAAGTGCTTCTACACTGCGTAAGGTAATTAGCCTAGGGGCTAGCAGACTTTTCTGCTCATAGCCTAGTTATTTAAACATTTTCTCACTCACCATTAGTTTTAGTCACTGTGTTTCCCAACAGAACAGCACAGTTGAATTTCAGCCTGCATGCACGTTTTTTCCAGCCTAACATTGTTGAAACACAGCAGCTAATATTGCTGTGTTGCTGCAACAAGTTAGCAAAGTGAGATGCTTGGCCAGTCAGGTACATCGTGCTTTCTTAGTATTTTATCCCATAACGGCGTTGTTTACATACGACATGTGCTTCGTCTCTTGACCTGTATTTTCTCAGAATTCAAAAATATTTCCACATTGCAGACGTATTCTCGAGCAAATAACATTATCCTCATCGTCTTTCTTCTGGCTACTGGTAACTATCTGCCTGTTGCCGTTTGACAATGACACAGAATTTCAAAATAAAGGCATTTCCTAAAGATAATAATATGGGTGGATGTTTAAAAAAAAAATAGTGACTTTGAAAGTGTCTCAAATTTGAAAATGGACATCCATATTATAAACATTTTAACAATAATATAAATCATAGCCATGGTGCTTATAACAGTATGCAGTCAAAGGTGTGCTCACATGGTTCGGAATATCTTTTCAAATGTTTAGATATTAGTTAAAGTTGCTAACACACTTCCTGCCCACTCCTCCCACTGTAAAACGGACTTCTTGTAGTAAGAGCTGAGGAATTATGCCTCACTCACTCGCTCTGTCTTTTCTACACAAAACTATTGGGTATTGCAAGTTGATGTTAAGAAAAGCAGTGTTGTAGCAATGATGAGCATTCTTATAAGGAAATATGGTTGAGTACAATCTCTTGTCTCTGTGTGTTTTCCAGGGTGTCAGTGCCATCCGACTATTTCCTACTTCTGGTCATCTGCTGCTCTCCTGCTCCATGGACTGTAAGATCAAGGTAAACAATCGCAACATGGTGCTTTAAAAACATCACAGAAGCAGATGAATGATTATACGCAAGTTTTCTGTTCTGTTCTAGCATATAGACTGTGTCTCAATTCAGGGGCTGCAGCCTTCGAAGGCTGCATTTAAAAATCGATTGTGTCACATCGGCGTGACCAAGGCTGTCCCATTTCGAAGGCTCCTTCAAATGCGGCTGGGAAATGCAGCCTTCTTTCTCAGAATTTGGAGGATGCAATGGATGAATCCTTCATGGCTCAGCCTATCCCAAGATGCATTTCGCGCAGATGTTGATTAAATATTAAGTTAACTAACATTTGTTTACTAGCTAACAGTTAACTGTTGTTAACATTACTGTTAGCTAAAAGCACACAGCTTGAACGAACTTCATTTATTAAGTTTACCTAAATAAACGTCCTAGCCGAAATGTATCAAATGGCGGTGTCTCTAGCGGTGAATCATCTTCTGAAGTATTAAATCAAAAAATACAATAACAATCTCTAGGTTCATGATTGATGGCTAACTAACTTTCCAGTTGCTCCTTCTTTCGTCAAGCGCAGCTGGTTGCTAGGTAACAGAAATGCCAATGGGTCAGGGCGAGATCAACTGCTGATCCAAGCAGAAAATCCTCCACAGACCAGACCATTCGGTTTGGCTGATGTGGTCTACAAATATATCTTCATCTTTATCTCTTGTTTCCATTCATGCTGTATTTCTATTTCTACTTTGCACGGAGCATTGGAACAAAAACAATTTCCCCCCGGGGATTAATAAAGTATTCTGAATCTGAATCTGAATCTGAAAGGCTGAGGCCGACGTTGACTGCGAAGGCTGCGTCCTTTGAAGGCTGCAGCCCCTGAATTGAGACACAGCTGTAGTTTAATCACTTTATGATTTGCTTTTGAGAAGATTCAAAGCCAACTTCTACCACCTGGTGCATTTTTTAGCGCTGTCTTAATTTAATGTAGTGTTGCAGCTTCACAAGTCTGTGTTTACTCATTTCTCCTCCGTCTCTCCACAGCTGTGGGAGGTGTACAGCGAGAGGAGATGCATACGGACATTTATTGGTAAGGGATCTTAAGTGTTTATTTGGTTTATTTTGACAAGTGTTAATGATTGATTGTATGAAATGGTAACAGGATCTGAAGAAATTCCCCACAAAGTGAAACAACAATGGATCATCAGCAAACATGCTGACATAAAATATGCTCGAGGTCTGAAGCGCATGCAGCCGTCTGGGAAATACACGGCAGTGACAGATTGTGAGCTCAGCATTACTTCAACACTAATGACACGTCTGCTGACCGCTGACAGAAAGCGTGGGCATATTTTATTTATTTATTTTTGGAATAGATGGGGTCTAGAGGGGGTTTAGGCTAATGTGTGCAGGTCACTCTTACACTCATCCCAGAGACAGCACGCTGTCTGAATAGAGATTGTTTGCAGCCTTGGTTCTGCTTGTCAGCTCCTTCACAGAATATGCATAATTCAGCAGCCCGTGGGCCGAAGGGAACGAGGGGCGAGGGAGGGCACAAGACACGGAGAGAAGTTGACGTATAGGAAGAGAGAACACAGTTTAGGGGTGAATAAACTGACAGAGTGACTGGCTGAGGCGTTAATGAGTCGGAGGAGCAGCAGAGATGCACATGATGATGTTAATTATTTTTTTCATTAGAGCAGTGTTAGAAGTAAACGGCTATGTTGTGGAGAGCAGATTAGGTTTTCCCTTTGTTGTTGCTGCTCTGCTCTCAGTTCTGTCATCTGCTGTCGAATGTATGACAGTATAAATAGGGCTTTATCGAGTAGTTGGAAGCTTCATTCATTGAAGTTTGACATTTGAATTCTAAATCATCAGCTTTCAAGCTGTTACTTCTGCACAGGTGGTTTGTAGGTCGGGTTTGAGTGGTGGATTTATGCATCTTTTTGCAGGTTGGGTGGTGTGGATTGGCTCTTATAATGAGTCAGGGGTGTGCAGGTATTAAATAACCCTGTTATGCACAACACTACTCCAGAGTGAAATCCAAAAGTCAAAATTTATTCAATGACAAGATGGATGTAATCACTCCCAAAACTATAAACATGTATTTATCTAACAAAATACTTAACTTCAATCCGTGTTTTTTGGTGTTAAGCTTTTCAAAAACAACATTTTTATTTTGGTCAAAAACTGTTTGCTTTCCAGCTTGACGCACACAAAGGTGATGATGTCATAAAATATGATGACACATTTAAAACTTCGCTCGAAAACCTCCATAAAAGCTTCAAATGTAAAAACAATAAAGAAGACATTTGGTACGACTCCAATTATAAAGGAAACTGCTTGTATTCATTTCTTATTCTTCTCAGATTTTTAAAATTTTTTATTTAAGTTCTTTGTCTCCTTATGTGTTTGGATCACTTTCAGAAAGTACACCTTTTTGTGAACAATATCGAGTTTTCTTCACTGCTTTCTCGGGCTGCACAATATTTTTCGATATTTTATTTTTCTGTAATATGAAAAAATACAGCAGTCTTATTTTTTATTTTTATTTTTTATTTGACAATGAGAAATACGTAAGACATTGCTTCAAATATAAAATACAAAGTAGATGCAGTGCATACAGGTTTCTAGCCTTGGCTAATTTGCAGCTCCTGTCCCAGGAAGTAAACCAAACGTTGAAGAAGAGTACACTTGCAAGATAAATGTGACACTTTCTAATGTCACAATGGAGGGACAACTACGCAGGTTGATTTTAGCGCTGCTCATCGTGGACTATATTGCTGTCATTGTTCATTTTAGTCAAACCATACAGTTTGAAAATGAGGCGCGGCTCCAACTAGAAAACAATGTTTTGATGCATTGGATGTGCTGAATGTGCATATTAAGGCAGTACAGGAGGAGGTGCACATTAATAATCCTCCAGGACTGTAACATGCTCATGTTTAACACAAACAATGTGTCATGTGACTGCAGTTGGTTCAGATCCAGGTCGGAACACGTTCTCACCACAAACGAACCGCACCAGAGTTCATTTGTAACCGGACTGAGACCACCTCTTCAAGAAGGTCTCCGTCTGGTTGTTTTGGTGCACACCTGAGTGTGATTGCTGTGTTCACACCTGCCCAAACGAACCACATTTAGGGGGCAAACGAACTTGACTTCGATTGAACCAAACTAAGCAGGGCAGGTGTGATATAATTGTGCGGCCCTATTGCTGTCCCACTTTTCATATTTTATGTGTTTCTCCCCTATGTGTATTGCGATGTTGGGTATTATTATCTGTAATTAAACCATACACTGTAATGGGTTGCTGTTGTTTCTAAGCGGATGCAGCTTGTCAGAATTACCCAGTAAGACAGGACAGTACAGCATGCATTAACCCAGGGATGGGCATGAGTGAGTACGCATATCATTATGTGTGCATTTTCATGTTTGAATGCAGTCTGGGACAAACGGTATATTTGATGACATGGGTGCCCTGCTTTCAGTGGTTTGTGTATCTGTGTTTTCCTGCACACACACACACACACACACACACACACACACACGACACACACACCAACAAGGCTTTCTGCAGCGGTGCCGTTTGCCTTTGGTCTGCCAGCAAGCCGGGTTAGAGCAAGCAAGCAGGCAGGCGCTTAGCCTCAGTGGGCTCTGTTATCGCTGTGGAAACAGTGTAGTCCTGATAAAAGCCAGTTTTAACAAGGGAGGTACCTGCATGCGCTGAGCCCACTGGGACCTCGCATCACCTGCACTGTGTGAGTAGAAGCCAACGGCGTTGTATAGATTGGGATTAGGGAAGAGAATAGGAGAAGGTGGAGAACGGTTGAAAAGACAGATGGAGCATGTAATTTTTTTTTTCTGTCTCATCCTCTTCCGTCTCCAAGCTCATTTAAAGATTCCATTTCCCTTGTATCCCACAGCCCACGTCATCCCTCTTCCTCAACACCCCATATTTCCCTTAACCAGATTTCACATTCTTCAAATGAATTGTGTTTCAAAGGAGGGCAGCGCGGGGAGACGTGGTAACAAGAGTGGGGAACACAGTGATTTTGTCGTCTAGCTTGTATTTATTTATATGTAATGAATGTGTGTATTTCCTCTGCTTCTGTCAGGCCACAGCAAAGCAGTGCGAGATATTTGCTTCAACAACACTGGGACCCAGTTCCTCAGCGCTGCCTATGACCGCTACCTCAAACTCTGGGACACTGAGACAGGTAGGCTCCGCCACTCTGATGTCAGTGCACTCCTCTCTAATATTCACACATCCTCTTGTTCTTGATTGTTCAAAATGACTGAACTGAGGGAAAATGTACTCCACATAAATATCTCACTCGTACAATACGTCTGAGTGTCTGGTGAGGGTTTTCAGTATTTTAACCAGATATTTTGTGAGTGGAAACTCTATCTCAGCGGCACTCAGGAGATGTATATGGGGGGACATAATAACACACCGCAGTGCAGTCAAATACAACCTTGATCTCAGATAATAGTGAATGATAGCGCAGACTTCAGCTTCTTTATGTAATTGTTTGTAGCATAAATTTCTCTGCAGAACTTGCAAGCGTGTTTCTATAAAGTCAGAAATACATTTCAGCCAGGTTGTGACTGATTCTTCCGTCACACAGACTGTCGACTAACACCCATTTTGAGAGGCATTCTTCAAAGAAGTTCAGATTTGCTGATTTATTTGTTTTATTTGTGATAAAAAACTGAGTATTTTAGGATTTTTGGCTATTGGAAGATGTCACCTTGGTGTTCAGGAAATTATAAAGGCAATTTTTTCATTTTTTTCTGTCATTTTATAGAACCAATGATTAATCAATTAAAAGAAAATAAAAATAAATGTAAAGCCCATTCGTACAGGACTTGTATTACCTGGGGACCTTATCTGATTCAGACATTATCTGACATTACTGACCTTAACCCCTGAACATGATGCACACAGCCATTTGAAATGTGGGATAAACAAACAGAAGCAATTCTGCTACACGTTGTCACATGTCAGTCATCTCATCATCCATCTGAGATGTTGCTCTTCTTATTGATTTGAGCTTGCCCTTTCTGCGAACGTGTCTCCATGCTGTGTAGCGACATGAGCCTCCTGCACCCAAAATGCTGTAAAACTTTCAATTAGAATTGTCAACGCAGGCTCCATAATTCTCAACAGGGACAGAGGCCGACCCCAAATCACTGAAAAAACAATTCACACAGGATGAATATTATCACACGACCTCTGTGTTTGGGAAAGTTTCTGAGATTTGCAGTGGCATTTTGACTGAACAAATTAGACACATGACAGATTCATAGGGGATTAAAATCACAGACAACCTCCACAACTGTTGCAAATTGCCAGAGGTCCCCAGGTAATACTAGTCCTGTGTGAATAAGGCTTTAGTTGACACATGCATAAATTTGTTTGTGTCTGTAGGAATGGAGTATTCTGTTAATATAAGCCCTTTTTACACAGAGATCTTGTAATTGGGCTGCAACAAAGACCCTTCATTATATCGACTTTGCTTTTTTTATCCAGAACCAAATAACGCAGACATAATGATAGATAGCATCACGCCATTTCAGAAGCAAAAGAGGCATGAAGGATATGATGTGTAACTGGCAGCATCAGCCTCTAGTGTGACATATATATCACGTGTTGGCAGCACTTTCGAAACCATAACAATGGCATAACATGACAAAAAACAGTCATTTATTGTCTCTGTTATATGGCGGCTGATCTTGTCCCCTGCTCGGAGGGTAGGGAGCTCCCGAACTTTATTGTCTCTCCAGTTTGCTGACATTTTGGGTTGCTTTTCTTCTTTGAGTTAGCTGCTAACTGCTGCTAGCTGCTTTTTTTTCTCAGATATATTTTTATTGAACTTTTTGCAAAGCTGGAAAGACAAAGAAAGCACAACACACACAGCAATAATACTAACAGTATACAAATTACTGACATCTAAATCTTGCAAGACAAGAACAAACAAAAAAAAAAAAAGATAGATAACAATAATTAAAAAAGAGACATAAATTAAATTCAGGGAGTCCAGAAAGTCCATGGACAGCCTATTACACATTGCAATTCGATGTCATTACTAGCTATGAGTGAGACTGAGACCACTGAGTAAGAGTGAGAGCTTTATCAGTTATCTATGTGACTGCCAGCTGGTTTTTAAAACTCCTGGCAGTGGGTCATACACATAACACGTCACACCGGTCCCGTCGTGCAGCCTACCCCTTTTACACTGACATCAATTCGGCACTGTTCCTACCTCCGCTGCCGGCTTAATGGCATCCCCACATTTTGCGATTGTATCTTTTATACAGAGCGGCAAGCAGCGTGACATTCCCTCCTTGAACAGCCAGTGTGAAAGGGGCCATAGAGGAACATTTAACATGAGCCAAATTGGCCTTAAAATCCAGTTGTGCAATTCCTCAGCACTACAAGCTATGTATCCTTAGGAATGTAGCCGACATCTCTGACACAGTCTTTGTGGAATTCTGATCTGGTAGTGCTGACAAAGACACATTGAGAAGTGACATACAAACACACAATGTTGGTCCCTGATGTCACTGTTGCCATATGGCTCCCTGTCCTCTTTTCCCCTCTCAGTTTCCACCCCTCTAAACTCAGGAGTGCCAGTCCAGCAGAGGGCAGAAAAGAGTTAAATCCCCCACTTGTTGATAACAGGATGCTCCTTGAGTCCACAGCCTAATACTTCTGTTAGAGTTAATTTACCTGTTAAAATATGTCCCTATCAGTTGCTGTGGGTTTGTTTTGTGTAAGTGAAAATGTAAATGGTTTCTGTCTTGCAGCTCTGAGTAGCAGTGATGCACAGGAAGGGATTTTAGTATTTTATCCCATGTCCATTTTGCAGTTAAACACTGGACGTAATACAGAAATTATGTCAGTGAAAAGCCTTCATTCTTATCTTAAGGGCCTCTTGGTGTTGCAGTCATTTCCAATTTCCTGTTTTCTCAGCTCCAGCAGTGGTGGTAGCATCATTCATGCGGTGATTCACCTCCGCTGAATGAATACAAAGAAACGCTGAAATTTCTGTGTTCTGGCTGAGCTGTCACTGCCTGCAGGGACAGCGCACACAGCATTGAAAGTTGTAGCCAGTGTCCCTAAATTTTAAACAACTTGAGCGTACCTCTCTCTGAAAAAGCCACCGTGGATTATTCTTGAGCTCTGACTTTCATTTCTGCCTCCTCCCCTCCTCCCACAGGCCAGTGTATCTCCCGCTTCACCAACAGGAAGGTACCGTACTGCGTCAAGTTCAACCCAGACGAGGACAAACAGAACCTTTTCGTGGCCGGCATGTCGGATAAGAAGATTGTTCAGGTAAAGTTGGCGTGCGCCGCATTGCCAGCAATTCAATTCAACTCCCACCATCACTTCAAGTGTATTTCCCAGTTGACCAAACAGATGCACACATGAATTTCTGCGTATACCCCCTGTGCCCACAGGAGCATGAAATACACTCCCGCCTCATCTTCCGGCACAAGTGTGTGTGTGTGTGTGTCTGTGTGTGCGTGGCTAGAGGTTCAGTGGCTGACAGGACTGGAGCAAATCATTAATCATGGGTAGCATTAAGGTGGAAGAGGGGCGAACAGAAGAGAACAATCTGTGATAAAAGTAGGAAATCCATAACTGTGATATCACACGATCAGGGGAACTGTTTTGAGAACAAGTAACCCCGAATCTCTGCAGAAGAAAGTTTGGATCTCAACAGATCTGATGTGGAAATATTATTTTATCTTCCACAATTCATAATCATAGAGTTTGGAACTAATGAATATGAAACTGTTTGGTTTTATTTCACTACTTTACTCTTTAATTTATACCAAGAAGTGTCAAAAAGTTTGTCCCGTTATTGTTCCTATGAACAGTAGTCACTTTTACACTATCTGGCACAATAATCAGGGTTAGTATTAAATCATGCAGCTCTCTTCTGGGTTTTGAGAACAGATGGCTGCTCCTGTGAGCTGCCGAAGGCTTAGATTTTAAAAAACACAGCATAAATAGAATTGGATGTAAAATCTGTTTGGACAGAAACGCGTCCTATTGGTTTGGTGCCTGGGGGATGTTTCTATCTGGTTGTCTTTCCTTTACATTTTAATGTGTGCATAATGTTTTCCAAAAAAGAATGTTCAAGACTGAGGCCTGTTTGATAGCTACTCTGTTTCATTACACCACTGCAGTTAAGCGATTTCACTGCATTAGCACAATTAAAAGCTGCTCTCAGTGATTGTTCGACAGCTCCGCCGTACGACTTTTTCTACAGTAAGAAAAGTTGTCAACCCCAGCTCCAAAGAAGAAACATGAATAAAAACAAAATGCAATGATTTGCGAGACTATATTCAAGTGAACACAGTGCAAAGACAATATATTTAATGTTCAAAGTGCTAAACTTTGTTTTTGGTAAATATACACTTATTCTGAGTTTGATGCCTGCAACACATTCCATAAAAAGTTGGGACAGGGGCCTGTTTACCACTGTGTTACATCATCTTTCCTTTTTAACAACACTCAGTAAGCATTTAGGGTACTGAGGACACTGCTGAAGTTTTGAAAGTGAAATTCTTTCCCATTATTGCTCAATATACGACCTCAATCGCTCAACAGTCGGGTTTCCGTTGCTGTGTTTTGCACTTCATAATGGGCCACACATGTTCAATAGGAGAGAGGACTGGACTGCAGACAGGCCAGTCTAGTACCCGCATTCGTTTACTACGAAGCCACGCTGTTGTTAAGACCTTTGCACACTGAATCCTTTTTTACGGATATGTTATTTTTAATCGTTACACACAGAAACCTTGCACACAGATGCGTTTTATTGTTCTATTCTTTGTGAAAGTTTGCAATTGGCACTGCAGCTGAATGAAGGGGCTTAACAGTGCTCCATCTCTGTCTCCACATTCTGTGTGCGATCCACATCCTCCTCCTCCTCTTCATCACCATCCACCTGATTATTACTATCTGACCTATTGAACGTGAGCTATCTGAGTTATGAAATGATTCTGTGCGCCCAGTTCCTCTGTCTTGTCACAGCTGTCTCACCACCACATTTTCGTCACTGATTCTTCTGGTCACATGTCTTTAAAGGCTTCTGACTGATGCGAAAAACACAGCAAATTGTACCTCTTCCGATAATTTCATTGACAGATGAAAGTTTTAGACTCAACATCCAAACCAGACTGACACAACATGAAGTCGTATTTATTTTTAGAAATGACGAAATTACAGACGAAAAAAGCAGATGCAGTGTGCAAATGCTGTTAGACTCGAAAAATGTGGCTTGGCGTTGTGTTGCTGCAATAATCAGGGATATCTCTGAAAAAGTAATCGTCTGGATGGCAGCATATGTTGATCCAAAACCTGTATGTACCTTTTTAGCATTCATTGTGCCTTCACTGATGTGCAAGTTAGCTACCCATGATGCCACGGGCACTAACGCTCTCCCATACCATCACAGATGCTGGCTTTGAACTTTGTACTGGTAACAATCTGGATGTTCCCTTTCCTCTTTATCCCCGAGGACAGGACAGCCATGATTTCCAAAAACAATTTGAAACGTGGACTGGACTCGTCAGACCACAGCACATTTTTCCACTTTGTGTCAGTTCATCACATATGAGCTCGAGCCCAGAAAAGTCGGCAGCATTTCAGGATGTTGTTGATATATGGCTGTCACTTGGCATGGTGGAGTCTTAACTTGCATTTGTAGATGCAGTGAAGAACTGTGTTTCCCGACAATGGTTTTCCAAAGTGTTCCTGCGCCCCTGTAGTAATATCTTCTATTCAGTCATGTCAGATTTTAATGCAGTGCAGCCTGAGGGTTCAAAGGTCTTGGGTATTCAGTGTTGGCTTTTAGCCTTGCCCCTTGCGTGCAGACATTTCTCCAGATTCTCTGAATCTTTTGATGACATTACAGATTTTTATATATATATATATATATATATATATATATACATATATACATATATACACAATATTCTTTCCAACTGTCTGTTGAGAAACGTTCCTAAACTGTTGGACTATTTGCCAATGCAGTTTTTCACGGTGGTAAACCTCGTGCCCTCCTTGCTTGTGAACAGCTGAGCCTTTTGAGGAGGCCCCTTTCATACCCAATAATGATACTTTAATCTATTACAGATTAACACGTCCAAACAGGCGTTTTTTTTTAGCATTCCACAACTTTCCCAGTCTTTTGTTGCCCCTGCCCGAACATTTTCGGAACGTAGGCATCAAATTCAGCATGAGTGTATGATTACAACAACAAAAAAAAAGTTTATCACTGTATACGGTCAAAAAAAATGTTTGCTTATCATTGCACTCTGTTTTCATGTCAGTTTTTTACATTGTCCCAAAGTTTTTGGAGTCAGGGTTGTATATATTTTGGTAATCAGCACCCCATAAGAGTACGGAAATAGTGCAGTGAAATGGGATTTTGTGAATCCATTTCAATCCATTTTATTTTCTTTCAACTTGTCATAGATAAATGTGTTTACCTCCTCTCTGTCTGTTTCGCTCTCTGCGCCTTGTGTTTTCTGTCAGTGGGACATCAGGACAGGTGAGGTGGTTCAGGAATACGACCGTCACCTGGGAGCCGTGAACACCATCACCTTCGTTGACGAGAACCGTCGGTTTGTCAGCACATCCGACGACAAGAGTCTTCGAGTTTGGGAGTGGTAAGTACAGACTCCTGCCAGAAATACTACTGTGGTGCAGTTTTTTAGTGTTGTAGCTCTGAGCAAGGCACATAACCTCAAATACCGAATGGGAGATTGGTTGCATTTTGCCGAAAAGCTTTAACGGTATGAATGTGAAGCAGAAATTGATTATTTAGTATTCTTTTTCAGTCAACCAACATTGCAGAGGTTGAGGTTAAAAACTGATGAAGTTATGAAAAGAAGGTGTTTAGTGTGATTTGAAATGCAAATGCAGTAGATGTGGCAGCAAGAAAGTTCATAGGGAACATTTTACAAGAGAACTCAGGGAAAACATTTGAGAAATACATATCATCAGTGTATCATGCTGCCCAGTGAAGATAACCTGCACTGCTCACTGCTCCTTCCATTAGTCCTTCACAAGAAGAGCAGACATGAACAAACCTCCAGACGACCTTATCTTGGACAAAGCTCACACAGCTGTGCTGCTAATCTGTTCTGAGTCACAGACTCTGCCACGGTGTGCCTGCTTTACATGCATCTGTTGCACTGGGGGTTTCTTTTTTTCCCCCTGGAGCTAACATTGTACATTGACAATGCTCCAGCAGTAACCCCTGTGAGCCTGGCCCCTGTTGCCAATTGTATATTTTAATAATAAATAAGCATTTTGGCATGCTTCCACATATTAAATTATTCGAAGGCAGATGCGCTGGGATGACTGGCAGGTCAGATAAAGTTTAAGGCTAATTGTCCTGTTTAGAATCTCTTGTGTTATTAAAAAAACTGTGTTCACTTGTGTTTCCTAGAAGTTTATTTACTTATAGATATTTTCATTCAGTGTTTCCCATAGAATTAGATTTTATTTGTGGTGGTTTGTGGTGATAGTTGCTGAGGGGGTGACCATATGTGGACAAGAGGGTGGAGCTGACTCGTAAGCCCTTTTTACACAGAGATGGCGCTATAGGGCTGCTACATGCCCAAACAACAGCAGCGTCATGACGTTCCAACGTGTGAGTTAAGACACCATGCCCACATCGCGGAATAAAAAGAGCAGTGACGGACGTTGACCTGTAGTGTAACACATAACGTAGCTTCGGCAGCACTTTTTCAACAATAACCATGGCAAACATGGCAGTAACTACCATTTATGGTCTTTGTTATATGGCGGCTGATCTCGTCCTCTGCTCCGAGGGTAAGGAGCTCCCAGACCTCCTTTGTTTTCCCAATTTGTGGATTTTCAGCTGCTGTTCTTCTTTGAGTTAGCTGCCAGCTGATGTCAGCTACTTTTTAAATCTCATGGGGTGGGTCCCACACATAGCACGTCAAATCTGGTCCTGCTGGCTGTCCCATTTACAAAGACATAGTTACTGTTACGCTGCTCGCAACTCAGAGGTGAGACAACTCTGTCCCCCCATTCCACAATCATACTTTTACACAGAACGGTGAGGTAGAATAATGGCGTGATATTCCCGCCTTGAACAGGAAGTGGTAAAGGGTCTATAGACTGTAACGATGCCTCACAGACAGCCTGTCAATCAAAGCAGCCCTGCCAATAAATATGCATAACTTTAAACCATAGTAAAATGTAAAGGGGTGAGTTATATAAAAATGTATGTATGTTACAGTTGTCATAAATGTAGAAATTAGCTATGGAGACCAAACCCATATTTATTTCTGCTGTATAGTTGGGCATCTTAACATTGGGTCTGTGGGGATTGACTAGCTTTTGGAGCCAGCCTCATGTGGTCATTCAAGGAACTGCAGTTTTTGGCAATTAAACATTGGCTTCATTTTTTCGGCTCTGGATGTTGCTCCTTGAATGAAAAAGAGCTGGTATATCATCAGCAAAGTTGCCCATATACTTTACTGTGTGCATGGAATGGAGGGCCGGCCTGTAGTCAATGTGTTTGTGAGAGATATTGAACGGGGCAAGCGGTGGCTGAGCGAATCGATGCACCTCAGCTCAGTCCGCTAGTTGATCAATCACAGATGACGTCATTCTCTCAGACAGATAAAAAAAGATAACAAGCAAAATGCTAAAACTGTTCACCATATACACTTCTGTGGCTCGGGGATCGTAAAGACAGTGTCTCTCCACACAGTCCCTGCTCAGCGGCCAATTGAGAGACCACCAAGAGTGGCGTGCAGATTAGGCAGGGGTCCTGTGGTGATATACAAACTGTGGTATTTATTGCTCAAAGATAATAAATATTTAAAGACCAGCTGATAAAATGGCTTCTTTTGGATTCTTAGAAGTGGGTGGGGGGAGGGGGCTTTTTTTTTTTTTTTTTTTCCAAAGGACAACCGTTTGTGTAGTTTTTCTTTTTTGATCTTGTCAGCTCTTCCCAGCTCGTCTTGTTCCTCCAGAGTGTGAAAGATGGGGATTAACGAGTGAAAAAATGTTTTGTTTTTCACACACTCTTGAAGCCAGCGTTGAAGGACAGAATAAAATGTCGGCAGAACAACATGAAGCAAAAGAATCATATCCCAAGAGTCTACTTTGTGTGCTTGTTTAGGAGGAGGGTCTCCCATGAGCTTTTTAAGTGCAGCGTGGGAGCGAACGGACAAGTGGTATGCTCAGCCAAAGAATGGCTTTACTGTCCCTCTTTCTCCCACGGATACCACCTGGCTCTGAGCTCTAGCTAACCCCTCTTGTGAGAGCTGGTACATAGAAGCGTTAGGCTGAAATTACCAGAACAGTCTCATATCTCCAGAATAGAAGTGGAGACTGGCAGAGGGGAGAAGCGAAAGCCATCACTTTACAAACGCCTACTTTAATTTAAATTCAATCCTCATTTCATACACATACTCAAAAGTTTTGTGAGGAAACGACTTAATTTGAGGCAGAGGTTTATCATTGGGGAGGTGAGAGTTGGTGTACACGTTGGAGGAGGATTACAATCAATATGAAATGGTCTGCACTGTACCAACAAGGAGAATTAGCTCTTGATAATAAAGACATCTTTCCGAGAGTGATGAACGGTGAGCTTGGAGGGACATATAGAGTGATGATCGACCAAGAAAAAAGGATAGAGGAAGACGTTAAATGGCAGATAGAGCAAAGGACATGTTGGAATCGCTCTCAATGGAAACTGAACTGCTCTTTCATCCAAGTACTTAATTTCCCTCCAGATTGACATTCATGATGGTCCTGACCTTTTTAAAAAAGCCCCCTGCCAACCCAAATTAACATTATGTAAATATTTGCCCATTAAAGCCTAATTTGGTATTTTCCAACCTGGTCCCAATTTACCCGTGTTTTTGTGTCTAACTAAAGGGGGAGATGGTTTTTGGAAATAGTCCAGTATTAAGTGAGAGAACTGCAGCTGGCAGGAACAAAACAGGCTGCAGTGTAACCACATGAAGCATGTTTGCACTGTCAATTAACGTCCACTAAAAGTGCTTCTTTTTGCCACTGACAGACTCAGACTGTTGAGTGTCTGACAACACTATGGAAATGAATGACCCTACAGAGACAGACCTATTTGTTAAAGAGTAAGATCCTTTTTGTCTCACCAGAAACGACCCAGAAATCACCATTGCCAAACCCACCAGACTCCATTAAAATTATTAATAATTTCTAGGGCTGCCCTCTAGTAGGCAACCAAACGTTAGTCGACCAGAAAGGTCATTTGTCGGCAAGAGAAACAAACAAAATCAAAAACCCATGAAATTCTATTAGGAGCTGTGCCTTGTCAAAAAGAAGGCCATGCATGCTCAGCAGTCAGACAGGAGTCACGTTACAAACCAATCACAACCGACAGATATCTTACCCTTCTTCTGTAAATATTCAGTCAGATAAACACGGAAAAGTTGATCATGTTAGTGCAGGGCTACCCAGAGCTTTACATCTGTCCCACAGACAATAGGCCTACACACTTATAAACAGCGCCTAGCAACCTCAGATGCAACCTGCCGCCACGCCCTTGAAAACTGGCAAGCCAAACACCTGACCTCACGTTTTCCAGGTGGTTAAAGACGCAGCATGTGTACGGCCCCTAATTTCCAGGGCTGGTACATTCGGTTATTCCACAGGCTAGTTAATAACATGTCGGGCAGGAAATCCAAAGTGTAGGATCATTTTGAGAAGATGAAGGACGAACCCAAGGTGTTATGTAAACTCATCTTCATTGGTAGACTACAAACATAACGTATCATCTGAAACATGTCAGTAGCTACATGCCCATTAGCCACTTAGCACAATCATTACTGCTTTGCCGACAGCGTCATTAACAGGCGGCTCGCTCAGTGTGTGACGTGCACTTGTAGATAAAATATAGGCCTATGTTAATGAAGGTTCATTAGTACGGTTTTGTATTTCTCTGTAATGTAGCACAGTGTTAACAATGTTACTGATACTGTTCTTTCTCACACCTTCAACTCAAACCATTGTGTTGCCCCGCCCAAAATATATCATTTAATAAATAAATTAATATTGTAAACATGCGGGCAACTAGTCGACTAATGGCCCTAAATGATGACTATTGGTCGACTAGGAAAATTCTTAGTCGGGGGCAGCCCTAGTAATTTCAGCATGTTTTTTTTTTTTTTCCAACCAAACCAGAGCTAGTGATTGTTGGAACAGTGGAAAGATGAACCAAGAAGGTTTTTGTGAGTTTTATTTTCTTTCTGTTGACTTTGAATGAAGTTTCGTGATCGATGATAAAATAGTTTATCAGGCCTTAAAATAACAATCTGATCCTGTCAGTGGCAAAAATCAGCACTTTAAGGCGACGTTAATTGAACAGGCCCCGAATGATTACATTGCAGCCTGTTTCGCCGCTGCAGTCTTGCTTAATACTGGATTAATTTCAAAAACTGTTTTTCCCATTAGTCACTCAGACACCAAACATGGGAAAGTTGGGTTCAGGTTAAAAAATACAGAGTTTACCCTTCAAACGACTTTACCAAAGCAGAAGTGTTGCAATCGTTTGAAAGATAAAAAGTCAATTTACTCTTTTGTCAATAGTAATTATGTTTTGTGAAATCCTCTTTTCACATTAGTTCCAAATAACAAACAAAGATGGTCTGTTTCATTTCCCTCTGAAGAGAAGCTCAAAGATTTTCTTGTTTCCGTCGTGACATTTTTTTCCTGCAAGCTGATTAGAAAACTTAACCTCGAGCTCACTGCAGAAATTACGCCTGGCAAACTAAAGTTCACATATAAATTATATAAAAATGCTGTTTTCTCCATTGTCCCATATCTTGATCGACGTGGAACACAGAAAACAACTATCAATCATCTATTATTAATGAGTATCCCCAGTGTATAAGATTGTTTGTCTGTGTTTTCCTTTCTTCCTCTCACATCGCTCTCCAGACAACAGAACATTCACACTGGTTATTTCTGGAGCTCAGAAGAAGAGATCTGATAGCTTTGTTATCCTTTCAGAGTTTGGCTTGGCGTGTCTGCAGACATTGGCTCTGACAAACCCAGGCGCCCCTTTAATGTCTGATTGTGTGTGTGTGTGTATGAGCTTGAATTGTGTGTTTTATGTGAACAGGGGTTTGTATTTCTCATTTAACTCGTCTTTTAGTTCTTCGAAGCCTGTCTTTGGTCTTGTGCGTTCTCGGTGCAGTCACTTTGCTCCAGCTGTTTCTCATCTCAGGCACAGACATGGATTCGGTTTAAGTGGATAACAAAATGAGAACAGGGCACTTAGTTGATGCAAACACACACAGTTTAAGGCAGGAAGACACATTAGTTACACTCATTCAGTTAGTTTGCTGCAGGTCAGCTGTGTACAAAGAGAGGAAATCAGCATGCAGTCATCATGGCACATGCACACACACACACACACACACACACACACACACACACACACAGTACTGTAGATTTGAATGATCTTCTCTTAAGATCAACTAGCCAAGTTTCCTATCTCTCCCAAAGCGGAGAGATATAGCAGAGCTTAAAGGAAAGGGGGGAGCACAGGGTGAAAGAGCGAAGGGATTAATAAATAATTGGATGGCGGTACAGTCGGCGGTGCAGCATCAAAAGCTCCTTTCAGATTGCATGGAGTTATTTACATTCTGTAGCCGTAATGGTGAGTGTGCCTGGTTTCTCACCATTTTCTCTTGAGAAACAAGCATATTGGAGTCGGCATAAGCAGCTGCAATAATAAACAAACCGCAGCTCGGTGAATGTGTTTTTTCTTTCTTTTTTTTTTTTCCTTCCTTTCGAGTTGTTCTCGCTTCGGGGCTGCTGAGGTTGCTCTCTCATCCCGTGTTTAACCCATCTTCAAGTGTACTCACAGAGCTTTGTGCCTTTTTCAGGGACATCCCTGTGGACTTCAAGTACATCGCTGAGCCCAGCATGCACTCCATGCCAGCTGTGACACTCTCTCCCAACGGTGAGTACTCAAATCATGGCAGAACACTCGCAGAGGCACAGTCAGGGACACGATGCAGAGGACTCTGGGGAGCATGAGCCCATATTGCCAGATTGAAGTTGAGTCGTACCTTCCAGCGTTGGTCACGGCTTAAAAGCATGAAAACAAGGCAGGCTCAGTGTCATCCGAGTAAATGTACGTGTGGAGACGTCCAGATCCTGTCATCTGGATTGGAATCAGGCCCAATCCTGGTATTTCTGATGGATAGATATCAGCTGTGTAAAGCCTGATCCATCTCCAATCCTTTGTTTGCTCTGGGTACGCCAGCTGTCACCATCGGCCCATTGAGCTCCGTTAAAACATTGTAACGTCTCTATTGTGCAGTATTGTGAGGGAGTGAACTGTAAAGCGCGAAGCAGCCAGCAGTTGCAATTAATGACATGTCAGCAAGGGATGAGAGAGAAGCTGCACTGGGTAAAAAAAGAGCAGCTGGTGTGCCTTTCTCTTTGTGATAGTTCTCTGCTGATGTTAGAGTTCGAACCTGAGATGAAGAGATGCTCTCCTCCATATAACATACATATATAATCTGTAAAATATTACAGGACAACGTCGAAGGAAAGCTGGGTTGAGCATAGTTGAGTACCAAACTCAAGGGTACCAACCAAATTACATTCGTGCTACCAAATACCAGTTACCTTAAATCTGTCTCCGCCAATTTTTGGCATCTGTGAGCGCATCTGGGTGAGAGTGCCGGGTTTAGACAAGGGGTTGAAAGCGCCCCAAAGCCTGGACAGCAACCACGGAGCTCTGGGGTTGGCCACAGAGCTCTAAAACCACTCCATCAACCGCTTCGTCAACCGCTTCTTTGGCCATTCTTTTGGCTTCCCAGCAAGCCAAACCCAACGCTGAAGTGCCGATGTGCCGTAATAGATTCATCGTCTTGTCTATTTTCTTTTCTATATGATTTTATTAATACACGTGTATGTCTGCCAAACAAGCAGATACACATACACACATGAACAAGCATACACAACCAGGCAGACAATCAGAAACACAAGATAAGCTCTGTGTGATTAGAAGAGAGCAGAGAAGCAGAATTGCATTTTAGTCTATTACGCCGCCCCTGCAGCTTGTTTAAAAATTACATTTTTGCTATTACACAGGGAGTCAAGTATTAAAAAAAGAGGACCGTTGGGTACCAATATTTGCTCAGACATGAACCGTACCAAACCCTAGCAGCGCTGATTCACTTTCTCACAGACTTACACCAGTAGATTGATCCCCCTCTCATATCTGAGAGTGATATAGATCTTCTCTAACTCTCAGCAAGAAAGTGAAAAAGCATATTTTCCAAAATGTCAAACTGTTCTTTTTAATTGCACTAACAATTTATGTATTTCAGGCCTGCTGTAGGCGCTGTGTAGCTGTACTGCTGTATTTTACAAATGTCGATATTAGCTGATGCTTAATGTGAAAGTCCGCTGCTCAGGATTTGGGCAAAGATGTGTTATCAGTACTTCCCTGTTCATGAGTAATTTACAGACATGTGACTCAAAGCGCCGCTCTGAAAAATGGGCGCTCAGGAACAGTTACGCGCCGCACCTGCTTCTCGTCTACATTGAAAACAATAGCCCTTTTTAAATAGGAATTGTGCAAATTTGCAGGAAAGCCCAATCAGTCTTCCTTCAACACTGGCAGTATAAAAACAAAATGCCACCTACCTACTTTTGTTTATACAGAATGTGCCTTTTTCGGGGCAATGGGGGCATCAGCAATTAACAAAACGTGTAGCTCAGTGTGTGACGTAAACAGTGACGTACTCCAAGGGAAGCCGCGGCTGGTCAGTCCTTAGGCGATTCTCTCATAAGTCGGCCCCTCCTTCACTGTTCCCGTCATTTGATGATTAATGGCCTCTTTGTTGGCAAAGGGCAAGGAGGGCAATTCCTTGTCTCCTCAGTTGCTCATCTTTACAGTGTCTTTCAGGTTTGCGTTTTACCAAAAATGTTCCACCAAATATGTTTACCTCTACGAGGCGGAAAATTGGGCACCTCGGATCAACTCGCCGATCCAGCTCTGTGTGTCTAAACACTCGCAGCTTGCCTGCAAAACGGCCCAACGCTCGCCAAAAATCTGGCAGTGTTGGGCACAAAAAACACAGCATGAAGGAGGAAGGACATGATCGTGGTCGCCGTCCCTTGTAAATGTCTGACAACTTCAGCCTTGGCCCTTCCTGACAGAAGTTCCCAAATCTCATCATCTCTCCAGTAAGGCACGTTCATTGCTGTCATTGTGTAAATTCTTCTTCACCCTTGCATGTTTGTTTTCTTTTGGTTTTCTATGAGCCGCATGATAGAAATGTCATCCACACACCCACGTGCTAGTAGTGAATTCTCCAGACAGTGACCTGCTCTATTCACACAATGGCTCAGTCGGACATTACACGTACTTTGTACCAGGAAGCTGGCAGGGTCTGTTTACTATCCTGTCTAATTTGCACTGTCATATATGGCTCCTCGGTAATGTCTAGATGATTTCCAGTTTGCAGTGCGTGGGTTTAAAGAGCAGAATAAACCTGCTAATGGCCAGCTGAAATGATGAATGTTCACAGATGTGAGTGTAAGATGTAAAGACACCAGTTTGTGACACAGCAGCCAAGTGTTGTGTAGCAGCACACACCTAAAATAATACCCAAATGAATTCCCCTTCAAATGCAAGGCTTCCTTTTGAATCAGGAATTCCCTGTTGCACTCCATCAGCTTCAGCTAGCATCAGACTGGGCTCCTCTGTCCTCATCTGTTCCTTCCCTCTCTACCTACTTTGATTTCTCCCTTTCATCCTCTCCCTTACACACTCCCTCGTCTCTTCCTCGCTTTGGGCAGCGTTCTTATTTGTGCCAACATGGTTTGTTTCTCTTGAGCGTGTGAATAATGAATGTGCTCTCAGTGGGAGACCATTCAGTTTTCTCTCACGCCTAAATGGCACCCAGCCCCCCTTGGCACAGCATCCTCAGCCTCTCTCCTGTTTTCTCCTCTTCGCCCTGTCTCTTGCCATCTTAACGAAAGAGACACAGCCTGAGCACGCTGCAGAAATTAGCCAAGTTGTTTCCATTCTCCTGCACCTATCGCATTTGACATTTGTGGACAATAGTGTCTTTCTCATTTATGTTTTGTGTGAGAGGATGTAGGGGGAGGACACACACACCAACACTAGATCTCCTTCTCATACCACATTAATAATTTTCATCATGTTTCCCTTTCAAGAAGTGCAGTGAGTCGTGTAATGCTTTGACACTGAAGCACTGCCTCTTATCACTGTGTAGTGACTTTGAGGCTGTAGCGTTGTCAGGAGCTGAAACGCTCTGTAAAGTAGATCTCAGCTGAGCAGTCACTGATGAAAAGCCTCTTATTATTTTTCTCCTAAATTACCTCAATCTTTTCATTTTAATAATGGCAGAATGATGAGTTCATGAGAGTCGTCCACTCAAACTCCAATTTCCACATTTCTGCTTTTTGTTTGATTTCTTCCCACCAATTACCAGGTATCTGTTATTAAAAATATTTGACTCTGCTTGATGTGGCACTAGATCAGAGTTGTTACACTGCCAGGTTTAGTGCGTACTAACAGCAGCAGCAGGCGGTATCATGATTCCACATCCTAGACACTAGTGGCTGCTTGTTAAACATTTGGCTGAACACAATCATGGTAATGAGACAATCTAGCAAGCTAATAGGCACTTTTAAACTTGTTGTGACAACCGTTAAAGCTTAGAAATGTTTTCATGGTTAAATTATGCTGTTGTACTTTATGTGTGCCTTGAACCTTTGTACTCTACCTCCAATACTTTTGATACTATAAAACTTTATTAGAAAACTTTTTTCAGCAATGTTTTTAGCAGCTTTGTTCCGATAGTACTTTTTCCTTCCCGAATAGTGATACCTGAACTTGGGTATCAGCCGACTGAGTACCAATTCGATACCATTGGATTAAAAGAACAAAAATTAACAGCTGTATACCACTAAAGCAGGATTTATACTTGTGCGTCAGCCTACACACGGCCTACGCTTTTGTAAGCATTTGTACTTTAAAACACTAGTCAGCGGCAGGGTTTCTATAAAGTGTTGTAAAGTTTAGTTGATTCAAAACACACATTTAACACACATTAAACATGGCTTAATAGAGACAGTTTCAAACACAAGTACACAAATCAGCTTCACTATAACTCTCAGCATTCACAGACAAACACTTGTCTTCATCTGGACACATTTTACCCACAAATATAACATGCTAATGTTGTTAGCACAAACCTTTGGCATTTTACATTGTATAAATTAGCCTAGCAGCTAGCGGAGTGTTCCTCTATCATGAAGCCAGGATAAATCACACACAAGACTAAAAACATTGTTTTGTGGAGGCTTTATTGTCTTCACAATTTATTGTTTCTTATCTGTGAAATTAAAGTAAATAAAAGCTTTGTTTCCACTGAGGGAAATGGTTTCACTTACAAAAATAGACAGGAGGTCTGCGTCACCGTGAGGTGTAGTTACATTTCTGCTTGTCAAGCCATGGCGCACGATACAGTGTAGGATCTACGTCGATGCAGACCCTAAGCCATAGGTATGGCACAGAAGTACAACTGGTGTTGAAATTGGCAACACCAGTGCTGCTAGGGTTGTAGTCAACCAAAGAAAGTCTTGGTTGACTGAAATTCCAGCTACTTTTCAACCAATCAATTAGTTGATGGGGAACAAACAATCTGCATGTTAGCAGCCAGAGTGCACCTAGTGTTCTCTACCTTGGTAGTGTTGTCTGCCCACCAAAACACCAGCAGCATGACGAGGCGCTGAGCGCATAATCTGCACTAAGCACTTTTTTTCCCCACTGGCCACCAAGATTTGAAAAATGTTAAGCTTTTGGTAAAACTCTGCACTCGTCACTGTCACTCCAGCCTTCCAAACACAGTGGAGGTCCTGAACAAATACCACAAAGACCAATCGTCACATCATGCACAAGTGCTGAATAACAGAGAAATTAATACTGCTGTTCACAAAGACTGGCAGGTCTGTCCTCGCCCCAGAGCAAGTACTGTACTTTGTGTTTTTACCTCTATGGATATTCCGTATCATAGCAAACAGACGCAACCAAAGCATCTCAGCTGAAAAAACATTGTGCCTTCAAAGTGCTCTGGTTCTCAGAAGAAGACCCTGTTTTTTCACCTGGGAAAATATGCTTAGCTGGACACACAGCCTTTTATGAAAGTAACTTCAGAGATGTTCTGACCAGGGGTCGCGTTAACCGGATATTCTCGGTCATTGACCATTTTTTTACAACAATGACCGGAAAATCTGAAGGCCGTCGGTCATTTTGACCGGTTGCAATTACCACCCCTGCCCACTTGGCGACAGAGTGCTCAGTCAGTGGTTTAAGTGGCTGCCGTTTTCACGCTGCAGAGAAAAGGTCATTCATCTGTCGCTCTGATGTAGCGTTGTTGACATAACGCCCTGGACACACCGGACGCGTAACCGAGGCACGGCGCCCAGCAGTGGAGGCAGTTTCCAGTCAGTGCCCATGTTAACCTATCTGACTGTCCACACAGGCCGCTGAGCAGAGCGGAGGGCCCACGGAGGCAGCGCTTCAGTTCAGCGTCTGGTCTGTTTTTCAAGGGAGCCACGAGCGCTTCTGTAAAGCTGGATTGAGCGGATCGTACCAAACAGGAAGTCGGACACAGAAAAGACGAGAGAATCCGGCCAATTTTCAAAATAATATAATTGCATGCACTGAGGAACGTGAGGAGAAAATACCGTGTTTATAATTTAAAATAACACATCAGTGCATAATCAAACACATTTTTCAATACCCTAATCACTTCATTACAATTTTAATTTTGTGTCACTGAGCCTACAGACATAACTACATAACGCGTTAGTGCCGTCCGGTGTGTCCAGGACGAAGCCTAATGGCACGGGTGTGTGGATGTCTGTTCATCTTTTCATTCATGTCCTTATTAATGCACACTTTATAACTTGCTTGTTGGATTTATTAAAAACAAACAAATGAAAACTTAATGTCTTTGAATATCTTTTATTATCATTTAAAAACGAAAATTAAAATGACCGGTAAAAATAGATCATGACCGGATTTTTATGACCGAAAAGTCTAGCGCAACGTCTGGTTCCGACCGATGAGAATTTGGTCGGAACCAGATGGCTTATGTCACACTATTTATCAGAAATCAATTCTTCTTTGCCCCCCCCCCCCCCGAAATAGGCTGCATAGACTGTGTACTCACTGATATCGATACCAATACAGCATCTTAGGCAGCATCAGAGGTGTTTTCGACACTGGCACCAGTATTAGAACAACTCTGTTGTGTAAGCATATTTTACAGTGACGTACTGTGCTGCACCACTTGAGATCAGCTGATAGCTTCATGCTGTTTGCTTGTTTCTAACCCCAGGTAAATGGCTGGCATGCCAGTCTATGGACAACCAGATTCTGATCTTTGGAGCCCAAAACCGCTTCAGGCTGAACAAGAAGAAAGTCTTCAAAGGCCACATGGTGGCTGGCTATGCCTGCCAAGTGGACTTCTCCCCAGACATGAGGTAAGCTTTTACTTTGTTACTCATTTTTCTAATGAGGGGGAGTGTTAGACAGCTGGGATTCTCACAGCTGATTAATAGTTTATAATAGTTCATTAAGGAAAATGTGCAAGAGAAATGAAAACTGACTTAGCAAAGATTTGTCTTTTCCTTTGAGCAGAGAGAACTGTCTTACTGAGTGGAAAGTGTCAAGAGAGACAAAATATAAACTCACTGTGTAACTGAAATGAAAAGTAAAGTGTTAAAACAGGTTCAAGACACAGTGAGACATCATTGCACAGATACTCGGTGTGTTCTGATGCAGAGTACCTGTGCTCGCCCACTGTTCTCTAAAACACCTTCAGCTGATAAAGAGCTGTGGAAATTCATATTATCTCATTTATAAGCTCCACAGGGAGAGCTAACTGGAACAGTCCAGCACCCTAATTTTAGCCAAAACACCCATTAAGACCTGCTTCACCCCTCTTCTCACCCACTAGCACCACCCACGTCTGTGAGCAGGTGCCCTAACTTCCTCTCAGTATCCATAGCAACACTGCAACTCCTGGCTAGACTAAATACCCAAAAATTTAGACTCCCACCTTTTGGCAGGTGAAGTGGAGACATTTTTAGCAAAGTCCTAATCTTCCCATCTTCTCTCCCTCCCTCCCTTCCTCTCTCTGTTCCTTTCCTCTCTACCAGCTACGTGGTATCAGGTGACGCAGATGGAAAGCTGAACATTTGGGACTGGAAGACCACCAAGCTCTACCACAGGATCAAAGCTCATGACAAGGTGTGCATAAGCGCACTGTGGCATCCGCACGAAACCTCCAAGGTTATCACCTGCGGTTGGGATGGACAAATCAAACTCTGGGACTAGATCTGTCCCGGTGTGTGTTTGGGGAGGGGATTCTGGGAAATGATGGACAGAACTGTACTGGTTCACTGTAGAAAGACAGAAGGGGACTGGTTGTCCTATGTGTTTTTTGAAAACCTAAAGTGAAAGCCACAGGACTGGTATCCAGTCTTATTGTAGCAGCATATTTTTGTATCCTGTCATGAGAGTTCAAATTACATACTCATGTATTATCTGTACAAAGATGACCACAAACATACTTTTAAAAATAATTTCCACTCCAAAAGGCAGATTAGATGGGAACCTTTGCATTTTTAAAGTATTTTTCCTTTGTTGTTTTTATTTGCATTGTCCTGTGTAGTATAATGCTTGGTCAAAATTCTTAATTTTCTCTTGTATGAACATCCCTTTGTGGAAATAAACATTCTGTAAATTTGACCTCTTAAAATGATACTTTGCTGATTTTCAACCAGCTTTGTGTCATACCAATGTGGGTAAGTATGTGAAAAGGAACGTCCCCTATTCTACCAGAGCCCAGATCTCCCTGCTTATTTCTCAGCTCTAACGTGTCATCTGGCGTATTTTCACTGGCTCTCAGGCTTTTGCTCGAACTACAGATTGTACCTCCGCGTTTTTATATGCCCACCAGCAGACACAAAAGCCCCATTTCCGTCAAGAGGAACAATACGGTTCAGTTAGGTTCGGTATGCTTATTTTCTGTTTCCACTTTGAAAAGTATGGTGAGAGATGGTACCAATGGAACTGTTCCGTACTGTCCCCATTTTTGGTCACCCCTTTGTTGGGGTTAGTCCTGTCAGGATAACAAATTTTGCTGGGCGATTGCGTCAGAAATTATGGTGATAAGCGATAATATTGTGTAATATTGTGCTTTTAAGACTGTTTTTATTATTGTTGTAATTTGCTGTTTTTAGACCATTTTTAAACTTATATAATGATAATAAAGGCATATTGATGCAAGTACACCCTTTTAAAGAGAAATAAATTTTTATTTAACAAGAATATTTAGGACTGCAAAAAAGAAAATTTGAATAGTTGAGATGGTTTTAGAACAATCCCGGCACACCGGCTCGTCCAAATTACTGAGCTCCCCTCTGTCATTTGGTTTAAATCCAAAACACTCCCACACAGGGGTGTGGCATTTGGTTTAGGAACAAGTTCCCTGTCTTTCTCCTCCTCGTCTCCCCCTCACAAAGATAGCACTATGTGTGTGTGGCCCATAGCCCCGCCTCCCCCACAGAGACAAAGACACTTGATGACAAGAGCTTTCCCTCCGTTCATTACGCTAATGAACCAACTCCCCTGGCTGCCAGACGATGCACGGCAGTGAACGCTCTTGTCGTCCAGTCTCTTTGGTGGAGAGAGAGAGAGGAAAACAAACACGCATGAATATGGCAATTAATCGCGGCCGGGAAAGTTACTGTCTCCCTTTTAATTTACCGTGCAATTAACCGACTTATCGCATATCGTGAGTACTACTAGTTGGGGTACCTAGCACACAGATCTGGTACTAAAAGGTGGAGCTGTGAACATTTCAACTTTGACTATTCCATTAGTTTTTATGACGTACATTTTTAGTAATGAGTGGATCTTTACGTGTTTATATATATTGATTTTGACCAGGTTATGTGAACTGCATATATTCTAATCCTCACTCAGAGAAAAAAAAAAAAAAGCTATGTGGCGCATCGTTCCTGTGAGCAACAGCAACACTAAACCCTGAGCTTGCCTGAGAAGGACTAAATGCACAAACCTGCTATTTTTAAATATCCCATGGAGAGAGACTCTCACTGCTGCCTGTTTTATTTTGTTCTGAAAATGTCGGTTTTCAGCCTCGTTCTGTGGACGATAAACGAGGTGCAGACTGATAAAGGAGGAAATACAGTGAGTGCTGGACAGACCAGTGAGTGACAACAACCCCGCCCACATTTAAGAGTACTGTTTGCGGTGAAAACGCTAGGGTCTAGGTACCATGTCTGCAGGGTTACTTTTGGTAACCATAGCGAAAAGTGGTTGGTGGAAACGGGGCTTAAGAGTACAGAAGCAGATTGAGATAGAGACCCGTCCCTCTTTCTCTCAGACCAAACTCCAATCAAACACTAAAACAAGGCAGTGCTGATCAAATATAAACCAAGATTCTGTTACTGCATTGCCAATTTCTTGCCTAAAATGTCTTCAGTAACATATTTAAGTGTACTGTTTAGCTGTAATACGAGAATTTGTTAACAGTTGGCGGGCATCATACTGTTTCCTGCATTATAAAAACAGGCAGAAAAACCCTTTTCTCTGGTCCTGTATCACAGATTTTAAAAGTATTTGCGTCTTTCTACTGCACAGACGGCCCAGTTTCATGAACAGACCATCTTGAGTGAAATAGTTCTTTAAGAAAGCAAAGCATCGCCTGGAGAAACTGTTTCTTCATCTATAATTCAACACAAAATCATGGAGTCATCAAACCTTTCATCTTTCCTTTCTTTATTAAACTACATCAAAATATTTGGCAAGTTACATTAATTGGATCATTTTTGAATGTGGATCCTCTTTTGAGGTTGTCAGCCTGGTGCAGCGTGTTCAGATGAAGTTTGTTGGTGAAGTTCTGGTGCAGCAGAGATAGTGGAGCGAGGCCAATTGAACACCAGAAGAAAAACAGAAGATGGAAAAGAACTGACAGTCACACAAAATGCGTCTTTGTGTGGATCTCAATTGTTGTTTTTCTATTATAACCCAGGAAACTGCAATATGGAAAAAAAAAAGAAGATAATTGGAGTTCATCTTTTCTTTTTGTCTTTTTCCCACGCACTCGCCCACGCGCTCTCATTCAAATATCCAACAAACACACTGAACAAATCTAGAGACATCACTGTGACGTTCTTCACATTATTGTTGGGTTTTGTGTTTTTAGATACAATCGTATCAGGGTTCAACTGCAGGGAAGCATCTGTTCGCCCAGATATCTTCTTCAGCCTCCAGAGCAGATCCCATCTCTTTACTTTTATCATCCACATTGCATTGCTTATTCTCTTTCTGTTTAAGCAGCTCCAATTGCCTCCCACATATACTCACTTACTGTCAATGAGACAGAATCTTTCATCCATCCACCCTCTTTGACGTCATGTATCCATTTCCACTAATTCATGTTCTATTAAAGGAGCAGTGTGTAGGATTTAGGGGGATTTAGTGTCAGCTGGCAGTGAGGATTGCAGATTGCAGCTGACGCTTCTCCAGGTTAGAATTTTTTCAGTGTTTAATGTACAGAAGGCTTTTAACAGGAGCCAGATTATTCACAGAGGTCTCTTCCTCTCCACAACAAACAGAGCAGGTGATTATAACTGAAAAAGAACATTAAATAAAGCAGTTTCACTTTACAAATCAGTGTTTCTCCAACACTGTTTGCTTATGGGAGACATGCTAATGTGTGCTCATGTTTTTTTCTCTGATGACTTTAGATCCAAATATTTTTACAAGGTTTTACTGGAAGCTGAATTACCTGCAGAGGTCTTTCTCTCTGAACAGAAGCACAAGGGCTGCCCCCGACGACGAATTTTCCTAGTCGACCAATAGTCGTCATTTAGGGCCATTAGTCGACTAGTCGCCCACATTTTTTCGATATTAATTTGATTATTAAATGATATATTTTGTGCGGGGCAACACAATGGTTTGAGTTGAAGGTGTGAGAAAGAACAGTATCAGTAACATTGTTAACACTGTGCTACATTACAGAGAAATACAAAACCGTACTAATGAACCTTCATTAATATAGGCCTATATTTTATCTACAAGTGCACGTCACACACCTAGCAAGCTGCCTGTTAATGACGCTGTCGGCAAAGCAGTAATGATTGTGCTAAGTGGCTAATGGGCATGTAGCTACTTTCATGTTTCAGATGATACGTCATGTTTGTAGTCATCCAATGAAGATGAGTTTACATATCACCTTGGGTTCATCCTTCACCTTCTCAAAATGATCCCACACTTTGGATTTCCTGCCTGACATGTTATTAACTAGCCTGTGGAATAACCGAACGTACCAGCCCTGGAAATTAACCGCCTAGAAAACTTAAGGTCAGGCACTGGGCGCAAGTTTTGTGCCAGATCTCAAGAGTGCGGTGGCAGGTTGCGTCTGAGGTAGCAACACAACCTTAACAAGCATCGTATAGCCTATTTACTGCCTGGAAATCTGTGCCAGCTTTCAAGAGCACTGCGGCAGGTTGCATCTTAGGTTGCTAAGCAATCCTAACAAGCACTGTATAGACTATTTACCTGAATTCCTGAGTGCAAAGCTGATCTTCTGAAAGTGTAGGCCTGTCGTCTGTGGGACAGATGTAAAGCTCTGGGTAGCCCTGCACTAACATGATCAACTTTTCCATATTTATCAGACTGAATATTTACAGAAGAAGGGAAAGATATCTGTCAGGTGTGATTGGTTTGTAATGTGACTCCTGTCTGACTGCTGAGCGTGGCCACTTCCAGTGTCTTAAATTCCCACATGGTCCAGATAAATAGGTTTTGATTTATTTTGACTTTGACGAGTCGCTGCTCCTAATAGAGTTTCTTTCTGCGACTAAGTGACCATTGAAATCTTGCCAACTTATGACCTTTCTGATTTGACTAACATTTGGTCAACCATTGGGGGGCAGCCTTAAAACGGACCCAGTGATTTAAACCAGTAAAAACACTCAATAAAGCAGAGAGGGCTGCTACCTGCAGTGGCCGACACGAAATGCGAATGGCCCTATCTAGAGCCAGTGTTTAGTTGGTTTGTTCTGGGATATTGTAGCAACACAGCGATCTCCATGGAGTACCACTTCCTATGTAGATATAAACGGCTCATTCTTAGCTAACGAAAAGACTTATTTTAGCTTGATTACATACCAGAGAAAACAATAATTATTTAATATTCCATTTCTGCCAATATATCCCCCTAAATCCTCGACACTGAACATTTAAGAGGTGTGGTCTGAGGGTCCGTGCAGCCTATTGTAATCTGTAAAAGTTGTCTAATATCAGGCCGGCTGTGAGCCAAGCTCATATAGGACCATGATGACAGGGGTGGCTGTGACTCAGACGCTGACCTGCAGCCAACACCACCACCACTATGAGGTAGAACACAGGGAGCCTCTGGAGGCAATTACGTCACCCCCCTCTCTACACGGCTGAGGTCATTACAGGCCAGGAGAGGAAGAGCAGGAGGATAAGTAGGAGCAGGGATTTCTGCTTTGCAAAAAGGTCAGGCTAGATAAGAGCAGTTTGTGGTTGTACAGCTGTGATCTAGCAAGAATATGTGCTCCGACTTCAAACTCTGTGTTACACAAACTCGTACATTTCCATTCAGAAGCTGCTCTGGCCGAGATAACGGCTCTTTTCGGTGCAGTCACTCAGTCTGGATTCCCTCAGGGCTTCCACTCTGTGTTCACCCAGCTCAGGGTGTAAGCACTGCTGGCGTTGAGGACGTTCTTATGCAGGAAGAGACGAGGCTTGGCTGGGTCGCTGTGGACGTGGAAGAGGCGGAAGTTGGCATGCTCGAGCTCCTTGAGCACGCTGAACCAGTACCGCACCACAGATGGGTCGTCTCCGCCCACCTCAAAGCCTGCCCAGTGCAGGTGAAGCTCCAGCAACAGCTGACCCACCGAGTCCAGAACTCCTTCAAGAACCAAGTTCTCCAGAATCTTCCACTCTGCGCTCTCCATATCCGCCTTCAGTACATCCACCTGGAACAGGAACAAAAAAACACAATGGATGGGTTTTTTCCTTCAGGTAATAAATGAGTTCTATTATAATTCGGGAATGACACTAAACTGTGTGGAATTATTGGACGCAAAAGCTATTAAAAGATGAAAAGAAGTAAGTGAAGCTTGGCCTTTGTTCTTGCTGTAGCGATGTTGATGATGGATTGAGCGAGAGAGCGGCCTGACAAGGCTTGCTGTGTCGGAGCAGAGAGGAAATGCCTCATAAAAATGAATGTTAATAGCACCCTTAGGTCATATTCATGTGAGGAGACTCATGCATGCCCAAAGTTTAATGCACATCCTCAGGATCTTGGGATTCCTCTTAATTCTATTGGATCGCTAAAGATGTCCATTGTCTGACCTTTTATGTCTTTAAAAGTCTCGTTGGAGACAGTGCCTCTATTCCTTCTAGGCTCTGTTTCAGTTAGCATTTTCTCAGCTAGTACATCATGTAGCCACTAAATTAGCAGTGATAAGACCTGAGGAGAGATTTAGATTACAAGATTTATCAGAGAGAGGCCCGGGGTATTGTCATGTCAAGGATTATTACATTAAAGATAACATGACATACTAGCTGAAGGAAATTCATAGTTCCCTGCGTTTTTTTAATTGTGGGAAACGTCCACAAATCCACGGCTAAACTGAGAACATCACCTGACAGCTCAGATATTAAAGTGGCCATGAAATTTCTCTCCAATTGATGCCTTTGGTGACGCCACAGAATTCCCAGCCCTCATTAGTGGAACTGAACGAGTCTCCGAAACTCTCAAAAAACAGCTATCTGTGGAGAACAAGTCCAAATGTTGTCCTCCATCCTCCCTGTAGGCCTCAAACTCCCACAAGCAGAGATCTGCTCCTTAATTGGACAGAGAGCTCCTAATGGAAAATGATACGGCATCATCAAGAGGTGATGTATTCACTTGGTCTCTGAGGAAAGTGTGTTTCTGTATGTGTATAATCGTACTGCGCTCGTGTGGATGTATCAGGATTTGATGTTATTTAGAGCAGCACATATAGCTTCACTCTGTCTGACCTTTTTGTTTTCAGTGGACTTAACATAAATTGCCTTTCTGCCTCAGTGGTCCCTGATCCAATGCTGCCAATATCAACTGTCTCTGCAGGAGAAGTTACAAGCCCTGGCAAGACTCCATCTCGTGTGAGTAAAGTCCATATGGTGTTGGAGCTGTGGAGAGATGACTGGTGCTCCATTCCTGTGCAGCGCTAGCTATGCTAAATGGTCCTGGACTATGCTGGAAAGAAATGAGATGATGACGGTTTCCTGGTGGGTGGAGAGCAATAAGATGGTTTATGTCAAAAACTAAAGACATTTGGCAAACATGTTGATTATTTTAACTGAACAGCGCTAGTTTAACATTTTTGCTGCGTTCCATTTACTCTGAAAGTCAGAGGTCGGAGCTGGGAATGATGCCACCCCTGAGTTGACTGCGTTCCAGTACAAGCAGTCCGAAAACTAGGGTGCTGTTAAACTCGTTAACAATAGAGTGTCCCAGGAATGAGTCCTAAAACCTGGAAATGAGTAAGCATTTTAGCACGCCTGGTTCTCTCCTCTCAAAGTCAGTGGGTTTTTGGTTAGATGCCTGAAAAAGTCTGTGGTCAACACAATTTACTGACTTTAACGTTTTGTTCTCCGACATAAAATCTGTCAGTAATTACCACACTTGTGAGTTTTGAAGCATGTGTCTTATAAAAGGTGGTGGTTAACAGTTGGCTAAATCGTGCAGGTATGTGGGGTATACTGACCGCTTTTTCTGGCTGTTTACAGTATACCTACCCATCAATGGAATATGTAGGAGAGTATACCCACCTCCTCCTCAGTAATCTACCCAACCTACCACTACACCAGTGGCTAAATGAGACCACAGAACGTCATACTACCAAACACTGTTTTACAGCCTTGTTGTGGTGGCGACGTTGAAGTCATGCGACTGTGGTGTAGTTCATTCATAGTTCAACATTAGCTTTTTACTTCTGGCAAATTCATGGGCTTCAAAAATCGTAAAAGTGTTGTTTATTTGTGAAGACTGTCTTTCTGAACAAAACGTGTGAATATCATAAATTAAATGTTTGTTTGCTCCAATGCAAAAGTCCCAGTGGCTTTCTGAGGAGGGAACCAGAGTCACGCTAACTTCCGTGTTGGCCTACAGAAAAACGTCATCCTGGAGCAGTCTATGCCAGTTCTAGCTACTATATGTTAGCCACTGTTAGCATTATCAGTTGATAACAAAGCATTATGCTGTATTTTGTGTGTACAAACACTATAGCAAAATTCCCACAGATAGAAGTTGGACTGTACTGCGTGTACAGATGTTTAAATGAGACATAGAAGCCATGGATTGAACACACCATTTGAGCCAGCGGACTATTAGCTTAACGTTAGCATAAAATGGGAAATGGAGGAAACAGCTAGCCTGGCTTTGCCCGAAGCTAACAAAATCCTGCCGCTAGCAACTGTAATGCTCACTAACACATTTTACCTTGCTTAGTTTATCGATATTTTTAAGGGCAATCAGTCAGGACAACTAATAATTTAAGAGCAATCTGCTGTTTTAATGGGTGGTAATGTGCAAGGCTACTTCTTGCCCGAGAGCAGTTGCCAGGCAACCAGCAGACACTTCAGCAAGTTACTGCTCATAGCCAAGAATACTGCTCAGTGAATAAGAATAAAATCATCAAATGTAATGTATTGTATATCAGATACAAAGGTAGGTTAACGTTACGTGCCACATTTTGTTTTAACCCATTAGATGCATGATAAGCTGATGTTTTGTTAGCATTAAGTTAACATAATATTAGCTAGCTTATCTTTATCTGGATGATTCTGTAATTGGCATTTGGTCCAATTATGAATTGAACATGTGCCTCAAAAGATTTAAAGAATTGCTGACAGGTGTAGGTGCTAACGTTAAACACCAGATAGACATAAAGGCCTTTAATGTTAATGAGTGGCAGGCTGTTAAGGTCCTGTGACCATTCATTATCTCGTAATTCGTAGGATCGATATCGTTCAGTAACTTCAATTTTGTGATATTCCCCTTCATTGCCTCTGTCGTGAGCTTCTCTTTACATGGGCATTTGTCTTCCATGCATATTAATTCATTTCTGATGATGAACTTGACAAATGACAGATGATTAGAGTTGCAGCTACCATAGCTACAGATGCTAAACCTTTCCAAGATGGCGGAGCTGCCCCACAGTGTGCTGCATTTCGCATTCCCTATAATGAACTTTAGAGGTGCTGGTAGGCAGATTTGGCCTCCAGGAATGCTGCTTGGCCTGGCTTCCAAGTTTTTCCAGTGGCCACTCACGGTATTACTGAAAAAAAAAAAAAATTCCCTGCGGCGCAAAAAACACTTCCCTAATCACCACCATTATGATGTAAAACTGCTGACAGAACACCTCAAACTGCAAACAGTGTCAATTATTTTACTTACAATAGTAGATCTATGGAAGTTTAAATGTGTAAAAGCAGAAAAAAGCGTCTGAAATTCCTCATTGTCACCAGAAGTCTAGGAGCCAAGCGGGAACTTGTGGGAAGGCCAGGGGGAGAAACACTACTGCACATATTCAGTCGGCCGCATACCTCAGAGGTAAACCCAATAGCTAGAACCTTTTTTGGCGTAGGCACCAGGTAAGCAATTCTCATTGGACTGAATAGGCACCACCTTAGGGTCTGCTATCCAGATCTAATAACACATTGATGGTCTTGATGATGTGTATGCTAAGCTTATCGTCTCCTTGAACCCCTGGTTGGGGAGCCCTTCTGTGTGGAGTTTGCATGTTCTCCCTGTGTCAGCGTGGGTTTTCTCCAGGTACTCCGGCTTCCTCCCACAGTCCAAAGACATGCAGGTTAACTGGTGACTCTAAATTGTCTGTAGGTGTGAATGTGAGTGTGAATGGTTGACTGTCTCTATGTGTCAGCCCTGTGATAGTCTGACGACCTGTCCAAGGTGTACTCCATCTTTCGCCCAATGTCAGCTGGAATAGGCTCCAGCCCCTCCGCGACCCCAACAGGATAAGCAGTTACAGAAAATGAATGAATGAATTATCGTCTCCTACACATTGATGAAGTTTCTCAAACAATAAGATCCCAAGAACAACACTGACTTGTCTTTGATTTAAGCTCATTTTAAACCATTTGAACCACTCTCTGTCTTGTGAAAATTCTGCAAGAACACATGATGAATTCAAAAACACACATCAAATTGTATCCTCCGCAATAACAGAGCTGATCAGCCTTGTTGTGCAGCCTCTGTAGAATATCACACTCCACAGAAATTCCTGCCCTTGACTGCTGGGAAATTAATGTCAGATTTGTGCAAACAGTCTTTATACCTAACGGGCAAATATTTCCTCTCCTCCAAGTGAGTCACGCAGCATGTGATCAAAATACACATGGTAATTATTTCAGTAAAGCATCCTCAGGATTAGGCAGCACATTGGGACAAATCTTAATTTAGAGACGCGTTTGATGAAAAGTTGTCTGAGTCTTTGTAAACAAACAAGTTTGCAGATTTGAGAAAATAACTTTAAATAGGAGTTAACACGTTGCCTTATTAATTGGCCTGAAATGTGTTTATTTCATGGTGGGCAAAAACAGTCCTCGCTAATAACAAGACTTTTATTACTGTCTCCTTTAGTTCCACACGATTGTTCTTGTCACAATAATTCAACGGTTTTTTGCTTGTAAAACAGAGCCCTGAACATCACAGCCTATCTGACCCCTGTTATTGTATGCTTTGTATGCTTTAATTAGAGAGCAGATCACAATTAAAGATATTTAATTACACATCTGAGAGGTTTGCTGATTTGGTGCTTTTGGGAGTACTTCAACAACTGCTTTGACATCAGGGCAGAGTCTCCCTAAGGCATCTTCACAGAGACACAGTAGGAACTGTCTTAATATTTATCTTTCTATTTAGTCTCATTTATCCAGACAGCTTATGAGATAACTGTGCTCACTT